CATAGCTTTCCTCCCAAGGAGCAAGCATCTTTTAATTTCTTGGCTGCAGTCCCTGTCTGCAGTGATCCTGGAGCCCAGGAAAAAAAAATCTGTAACTACCTCCATTTCTTCCCCATCTATTTGCCAGGAAGTGATAGGACCGGACGCCATGATCTTAGTTTTCTTAATTTTGAGTTTCAAGCCAACTTTTGCACTCTCCTCCTTCACCCGCATCAAGAGGCTTTTTAGTTCCTCTTCAATTTCTGCCATGAGAGTGGTATCATCTGCATATCTGAGGTTGTTGATATTTCACCCAGAAGACTTAATTCCAACTGGAGATTCATCTAGGCCCGACTTTCTTACGATGTGCTCTGCCTATAAGTTAAATAGGCAGGGCGACGGTATACAGCCTTGCCGAACTCCTTTCTCAATTTTGAACGAATCAGTGGTTCCGTGTCCAATTCTCATTGTTGCTTCTTGACCCGAATATAGGTTTCTCAAGAGACAAATAAGATGGTCTGGTACTCCCATCTCTTTAAGAACTTGCCACAATTTGTTGTGATCCACACAGTCAAAGGCTTTAGCATAGTCAATGAAGAAGAAGTAGATGTTTTTCTGGAACTCCCTACTTTCTCCATGATCCAGCATATGTTGGCAATTTGATCTCTAGTTCCTCTCCCTCTTCGAAATCCTGCCTGTACTTCTGGTACTTCTCTGTCCACATACTGCTGGAGCCTAGCTTGTAGGATTCTGAGCATAACTTTGCTAGCATGTGAAATGAGTGCAATGGTGCGTTAGTTTGAACATTCTTTGGCATTGCCTTTCTTTGGGATCGGAATGTAAACTGACCTTTTCCAATCCTGTGGACACTGCTGAGTTTTCCAAATTTGCTGGCATATTGAGTGTAGCACTTTTACTGCATCGTCTTTGAAGATTTTGAATAGCTCAGCTGGAATGCTGTCACCTCCACTAGCTTTGTTGTTGCTCAGACTTCCTAAGGCCCATTTGACTTCACATTCCAGGATGTCTGGCTCGAGGTCAGTGACCATCCCATCGTGGTTATCAGGGATGTTAAGCTCTTTCTTGTATAGTTCTTCTGTGTAATCTTGCCACCTCTTCTTAATCTCTTCTGCCTCTGTTAGGTCCCTGCCATTTTGGTCCTTTATCATGCCCATCTTTGCATGAAACGTTCCCTTCAGATCTCCAATTTTCTTGAAGAGAGCTCTGGTCCTCCCTATTCTATTGTTTTCTTCTATTTCTTTGCACTGTTCATTTAAGAAGGCATTCTTATCTCTTCTAGCTATTTTCTGGAATTCTGCATTCAGTTGGGTGTATCTTTCTCTTTCTCCCTTGCCTTTCGCTTCCCTTCTTTCCTCAGCTATTTGTAAAGCTTCCTCGAACAGCCATTTTGCTTTCTTGCATTTCTTTTTCTTTGGGATGGTTTTAGTTGCTACCTCCTGTACAATGTTGCAGACCTCCATCCTTAGTTCTTCAGGCACTCCGTCTATCAGATCTAATTCCTTATATCTATTCACCTCTACTGTCACCTCTACTGTATATTCATCAGGGATATGATTTAGGTCATACCTGAGTGGCGTAGTGCATCTCCCTACTTTCTTCAATTTAAGCCTGAATTTTGCAACAAGAAGCTCATGCTCTGAGCCAAAGTCAGCTCCTGGTCTAGTTGTTACTGACTGTATAGAGCTTCTCCATCTTCAGTTGCAGAGCACGTAGTCAATCTGATTTCTGTGTTGACCGTCTGGTGATGTCCATGTTTAGAGTCGTCTCTTGGGTTGTTGGAAAAGAGTGTTTGCTATGACCATCGTATGATCTTGAAAAATTCTACCTGCCTGTGCCCTGCTTCATTTTGTTATCCAAGGCCAAACTTGCCTGTTATTTCAGTTATCTTTTGGCTTCCTACTTTAGCATTCCAATCCCCCATGATGATAAGGACATCATTTTTGGGTGTTAATTCTGGAAGGTGTTGTAGGCCTTCATAGAACCAGTCAACTTCAGCCTCTTCAGCTCCAGTGGTTGGGGCATAGACTTGGACTACTGTGATTTTGAATGGTTTTCCTTGGATTCAAACTGAGATCATTCTGTCATTTTGGAGATTGTATCCCAGCACTGCTTTTCCTACTCTTTTATTGACTATGAAGGCTACTGCATTTCTTCTGAGGGATTCTTGCCTGCAGTAGTATACCTGATGGTCATCTGAATTAAATTCACCCATTCCTGTCCATTTTAGTTCCCTGATTCCTAAGATGTCATTATTCAGTCTTGTCATCTCTTGTTTGACCACATCCAGCTTGCCTTGATTCATGGATCTTACATTCCAGGTTCCTATGGAGTATAGATCTTTGCACCATTGGATTTCCGTTCACCACCAGATACATCTGCTACTGAGTGTCCTTTCGGCTTTGACCCAGTTGCTTCATTCTTTCTGGTGCTACTAGTACTAGCCCTCTGCTCTTCCCCAGTAGCATATTGGACACCTTCCAACCTGAGGGGCTCATCTTCCGGTGTCATATCTTTTTGCCTTTTGGTACTCTCCATGGGTTGCCATTTCCTTTTCCAGTAGATCACGTTTTGTCAGAGCTCTCTGCTATGACCTGTCCGTCTTGGGAGACCCTGCACAGCATAGCTCATAGCGTCATTGAGCTATGCAAGCCCCTTCACCACGACAAGGCAGTGATTCATGAAGGAGATCATAATTTTAACATTCCATAATTTTCTGGGATTTTGCTCTGCTTGCTCCACCCTTGGTTTGGTTTTGGGTGATAATCTATGAGCTTTTGATGATTACCTGGGGTTATATATTAGTATCTCAGACAAAGCTCCTGCTCATGCAGAATCTCATATTTCAGGAGCTGCCAATACCTGTAGTCACAACATGCTACTGTATGTATATTTGTATATACATACCTGTAGGTAGCCTTTAGCACATGTCATGGTGTCCCATGCTTAGTAACAGACAGTTTTCCGTGTCTTCTCATTAACTACAATGCTCCCAAACAAAGGAAAAGAGTGTTACCAAAATGTATATTCCCTCAAAAATTTGCCGGTGACTAACTTCTGATTCATCGTTTGCTTAAAGAGGAAGTTCAGCAACTTTATCAGCATCTCAGAATTAGTCACCACCCACAACATGGGTGGAAGGAGCTGACCTCAGATCTGGGAATTTCAGCTTTTCTGTGGCTTCCAGACAATGCCTTGGAACCCCCGCCTTTTCAGCCACTTATCTTTCTTCCATGCAGTGGCTTTCTCTTTTTTGAGGTTTTTTTTTTAATATGCAGACATGATTTTGTATATATATACAATGAATATATATTAAATTAATATAACTTACTAGTGTTTATAGATAGGCTTCAACAAAAGCAGACTAGATATCCGACAAGCATTTATTTGACATTGGCATCTGTATGTCACCTGTTCATAAGGTCTTCAACTATTGCATTATAGGAGGTGAGGATTAATCTTCCGGTGTTGAAGTATCAGTTTTTTAGCTGTCCAAGGCCACAAAGAATCCATTTCTCCTTCCATTCATCAATTTCCATGAAGGAGACAAACATTTTAAACATGTACATCTGTAACATACAGATATAAAGAATGTAAAGACTGCTCCAATGCAAAATTTGTTCATGCAGTAACCTTGTGTCACTCAGCAACAACAGGTAAATAGCTTAACACACCAAGCCTTGGCAAACATTTAAGACAGTTGCAGTACAAAATGGAATAACCTCTTCCCCAAAAGAAACAAGTCCTGGACATTGCCAAATTACCTAACTTTAAAAAGAAGCATTGGCTGCATTGCACTGACAGAAATTAGCCAAATTAAAGAAACCCTTATTAATGAGTCATTGCCATGTTGGGAGCGCTCAGGGCCATGTGGTGGGGTTTCATGTATGGCTGCTGGTTATTCCAGCAACAACCACATAACTCAAAGGGTAATTCACATGGAAAAGCCATCAGAATCTGTAAAGAGCAGCCCCTGTTGGTATAGGGGTTCATTTGTAGGAGCCCCTTTCCAGAGACTCAGAGGGAATATGATTGGGGCAGGGGCTTGGCAGCATGTATGACATTAAAGTCAGGGCCAGTGGTAACACAGAAACAGAGAAACAGAGCAAGTCAGAAGGGGTCTCCTGGGCCATCTAGTCTGACCCCGGCTCCAGCCGGCTCCGCTCATGACATGCCTACCATGTGCATGTCCAGCCTATCCTTGAACACCCTCACCAATGGGGCTTCAACCACCTCCAGTGGAAGCCCATTCCATTCCCTAGGGGTAAACGTCCCCTTATCCAAGTGTAGGTCCCATCAGTGAAGAATGCCTGGGAAATGGTTGCGAATTTAAAAATGAAACAAAACTGCATCCCAAATACTCAGTGGAGTCATGGTGTCTGCAGGGGAAGTCAGCACCACTCCATGTAATTTGCTCTTTATCAAGACTGGCTTTGAGTGGCTCTACTTCCCACTGAGCCCTAACTTTGAATATTACTTGGAAGTACGTTCCATTAACTTCACAGCATCTGCTTTTTTGTGTTTGTGTTGGAGCTCAGCCTTAGCTAATCTGCACAGAGGAAGTGACTGTCATGTCCTGCCTGTTTTTCTCCATGTGAAAACAGAAGTCTAGTTTTTGTGTACTGGAGCCATCCATCATGTAGTTGCATGGGTGTGTCTGGCTATCTCACCTGTTCATGCTTTAAGATTTGGACAGGAAAACAAAACCATAAACAGAGAAGGAAGTGTATTTTGTTCTGTGCAATGGCTGTGTCATTTTACGATGAATAGATGGGTCCTTTCAGGTAAGTCATGTGAGTGACAGAAAATGCATACTATTTCAAAACTTTCTGCTGTACAAACCCGTTGTATTTCCTTTTGCCTTCCTTGAGCATTCGGTAGGTGGAGATTAGCTGTTATATTTGCATATGTAGCATCAATGTTTAGATGAAAGAAGTTAGTACAGCAATTGCTGCCAACAGAGTGCTCCAGAAGACCATCACAGCGACTCTACCCAGACGTGTTCCTAAATTCCAGTGAGTGGGTAAGGTATCTTGGAAGAAGGTAAGGCTTTTTATTGCTTAAAAAAATCAAAAAAGGAAAAGGAAGATTTTTAGAAAAATTGCAGTTGTGATGTTCTTGATGATTTACATTTTATCAGATGAAGAGTTCAATCCATAGCTCAGTTGAACAGAGATGTTTACAATGGGAGAGGTCTACCAGCTAGACCCTGAAACTGACTGGGGCATTTTAGAAGTCATTTCCCCCATGATATCAGACTGGCAGCACTGGTTTCATTGCATACCCATTGCATCTAGTGGCTGGCTGACTGTCTGAATCTTCACACTAGAGAGAAACAGTGGAGCGATTTCGCAAGGAAACAAGGCAAGCAGGGGCCAGCCTCTGGTCTGGAGTGAAGTCTTGCTCCCAGGAGGCTTCTAGGGCCATATATCTGCTTGCTGTGTTTTTGTTGTTTCCTCAGCAAATTGGCAGAGGCAGGAGCAAAAAACAGCTAAGGAGGGCTGCATGGGTCCTCACGTATTCACCACTCCTGGTGCCTCAGCTGTGAACACGGAAGCTTCCCTATGGGGAGAAAAGGTGTACCGCTGGGGTGTTTTTCATTGGGAAAGAGGCAAGGGGGAGTTCCAATCACAGATTTCCGCAGTGCTTTCCAATGTTTAGAGCTTATTTGATAGACAGATCTTTACCGACTCTAGCTTATTTTGCTAGTTTCTTTGGATGATGGAGTCATTTGTTCTGTAGTTTTGCACCTTAGTATTCTGATTCAGCTTAGTTTTGTAACTACACTACATTCATTTTTTTTTAAATGTGGGATGGTTTTCTATCTTCTGCAGGCAAATAAAGATACTGTTAAAGTAAAGGCAGAATACAGTCTAAGTCAGCCTTGCCCAACGTGGTCCCCTCCACATATTTTAGACAACAAACCCCCTGCCAACATAGCCCATGAGGCAAAGAGGATTGTCATCCAAAACATCTGGAAGGCACTAGGCTGGGGAAGGCTGACCTATGTGAGCAGGATCACAGCTGGTGAGATGTTGCCGTTAAAATGACCGGAGGCACAGATCTCCTAAATCCTTCAAAAATGAGGTCTAATGCCTTTGAATCCAAATCCTCTTCATCTGCACAAGAGTCTCATTAATGGGATCAAGATTTTATTTAGAAAAGAGGCAGAGAAGTAATACAGCTCCTTTTTAATGTGCACAGGCAACTAAAGGTTTATTTTGTGTATTGTTAACCCAGGGTCATAAGCTGTTTGAATACCAGTGTCTCATTCTCAGGACCACTTGGTCCAATGAGAAGTTCATTAATAAACTTCTTATAGCTTGGGCACAATATTGAGGGAGAAGTTCATTAATAAAATTGGGATTAAATTCTTGGTGGCAACTTTACACATGAAGAGAAAGAGAGGGGGACAAGCATATTACGGGAGAGTACCCGTGACATGTAATGATAATGCAATCGATCTCATCCAAGTCAATGCAGAAGTCTAATATTGCAACTTTGTTCAGTTTGACTTAGAATACCACCTCCCCAGGTCACTGTTGATGAATCCACAGTAGCAGGGGTAGCAAAAAACCAGCACATTTACTTGAAAATGAGGCATCTTGTGTGTGTGTGTGGGGGGGGGCAGGGTGTGTGATCAGAATCACACTCACAGAAGCCTCCCGGGAGTGTGACTCTGCTCCAATTAAAGCATGTCCCTTCTTGACAAAATTGGCAGGGGCAGCTTGCAGTCCCCAATGGGTTCTGGGGGACAACGTGACTTCTTGATCAACCCCTACATGCTGCCTCTTTATTTCCATATTTCCAATATGTGGATTTGTGCACATATTGGTACACCCAGTGTGTGGTGTTTTGCACACTTTTTCAGGTTGGCTTTGTGGTTTGGTGTAAGTCTTGACTAAGGTTTGCGCATGCATGGCGTATGTGTGCACACCACCAGGTTTCCTTTCTTTTCTTAGTTTCATGCGGTGTGTGTTTCTTTGGGTGTGACCAATTTGCCTTCTGTGAAATGGAGATTTTGTGGTGCTTTGTGGGTCAAGCATCTGCTTTTCATTTGTCATTTATTTCTGTGGCTATGACATCAGTTTGCCTTCCGTGAAATGGGAGTCGGAGCCAACTGATGGCTTCAAAAGTGTTCTTTCTTGATGCTTCAACCCCACCTCTGTCTTGTACTTAGGCAGTTGGGAATCTTACTTTTCTTTTAGCCTGGCCAGTTTGCCTTCTGGAAAATGGCTGCTTTGTGACTTGCCACGCCTGCCATGGCAGCCATTGCACGGAAGTGCCTACGACACACAATCAAACTTCCAAACATGCCTACTGACTTGAAAATTTTGAGCAGCCTGTTCCACTGGCCTGGCCCTCTAGGACAGGGTGGGCAACTTTGGAGGGCCACTTTAAAACCCCAGGAAGCCCTCAGGTCCCGCCTTCCCACCATGTGCCACTGAATTTTGATAGCAATAGCCGAAAACAACACCAAATTTCAGCGGGAAACTACAACAACAGTAGCCTCAAAGGGCCAACTTGGCTTGTTTTACAGCCAGATCTGTCTTTCTAGGCAACTATCATTCTTGCCACTGGAATCTGGCAGCAAGCCACTGACTGCTTTGTTGAAGCAGCAACTCTGGGGGTGCCGGGGGTGGCACAGGCCATGGGGGATCACACGTGGTCCGCAAGTTGCAGTTTGGCCACTCTCGCCATAGGTTTTATTCTGTTGCCTGACTTTGAGGCTTGACTTCTGGGGAGCTGCTCATTGTGGTTATAATAAATGTAGTTCCTTGATTAGAGCAGTTGAGAAATCCATCTCCGGTTGTTTGACTTCCTCGGCTGGCATAGTTTCATAGAGTACCTCTGGCTGCCATGTGTTTTATCTCTCTAAGGCAGAGCTGTCTCCCAAATAGTCAGTGTTTCATTGTATCCTGAAAGGCATATTTATGATCTGAAGAAGTCTAACCTGTTTTCAGTATATATCTCAATAAATCATGATGGCTTAGGATTCTCATATTTATCATCCTCCCCACGCCCTTGCCATAATACTCATCCAGCTGCATGGATGTTTGCCCAGCAAAGAATTAAAGTTATGGTTTTCCTTTCTCATACCCTAAGAAAGATTACTTTTCACAGTCATGGTAATAAACAAACAGTTATTTACTTTGATCTCTATCTTGTCAGAATCCTAAGACTAAGTACAGGTTGCACAAACATTCTCATCTGTTTTACCTGCATAAACCGAAGTTTGCTGTGATTTTATGGAAGGGAGATAAAAACCGGAAAACAAGTTTTAACTGTTAGAGGTACAGAACAGCCCAGTTCCATGCATGGCTACCCTGACGTGAGTCCACTGGGCAGGGAGGGTGTGAAGGAGAAAGAGAGAAAGGAGACGATCCCATCTCCAGTCAGATGTGGCTGGCGAGCTCTTGACAGATGTCCGCAGAGGGAATGCGGTCCTCATTAAGGGAAAGACCACTTTCTCTCTCCCAGCATACAGCTGAAGCCTGGGCAATTCCCCTCAAGAGTGGGGAGCACAAAGACCTCATGATATTATTTGGACAAACTGAGGAGGAACCAATATTGTGATTGCAATTCTGGTGCCCCTGGGCATGGCATGCCAAGTCAACACACTTTTGTTTTCCCAAGGGTAATCTTGCTTGCTCAGAGATTGGATTGCGATAGATTTGTGCCTCTTTCCCCTTTCTGTGCCCTGGGAAGTATTTGGCCCTGGCAGACTGCTTTTCTCCAGCTCACTCTGGCTGGTGACACCGGATAAGGAAGGTAGAATGTCTCCCTCTTAGCAGGCTGGGCTTGTCTGGCTTGCTTGAGTCATCCCCAGTGAGGTCTGCGCAGTGCATGTTCAGTTCGAAATCCGGACATTTGCAGGGTGGCCAGCTGCAACTTCCCTGAGGTCAGATCACATGCATTTCCTGTAATATCTGAATACTGGAGTCCTTTAGAGGTCCAGGAGACATCCTGGAATAAGGACAGGCCTGGATCCAGGATCAGGGGGGACCTAAGCCAGTGCCCTCCTTCATGGATCACTGCCTTGTTGTGGTGAAGGGGCTATGAGCTGTGCCGTGCAGGGTCTCCCAAAACGGACAGGTCATAGCAGAGAGCTCTGACAAAACATGATCCACTGGAGAAGAAAATGGTAACCCACTCCAGTATCTTTGCCATGAAAACCCCATGGACAGTACCAAAAGGCAAAAAGATATGACGCCGGAAGATGAGCCCCTCAGGTCGGAAAGTGTCCAATATGCTACTGGGGAAGAGCAGAGGGTTAGTACTAGTAGCACCAGAAAGAATGAAGCAACTGGGTCAAAGCAAAAAGGACACTCAGTTGCTGATGCATCTGGTGGTGAAAGGAGAGTCTGATGCTGTAAAAATCTATACTCCATAGGAACCTGGAATGTAAGATCTATGAATCAAGGCAAGCTGGATGTGGTCAAACAAGAGATGACAAAACTGAAAATCGACCTCTTAGGAATCAGTGAACTAAAATGGACAGGAATGGGTGAATTTAATTCAGATGACCATCAGGTATACTACAGCAGGCAAGAATCCCTCAGAAGAAATGCAGTAGCCTTCATAGTCAATAAAAGAGTAGGAAAAGCAGTACTGGGATACAATCTCCAAAATGACAGAATGATCTCAGTTTGAATCCAAGGCAAACCATTCAACATCACAGTAGTCCAAGTCTATGCCCCAACCACTGG